CCTGACAATAGAGCTCAAAGGTGTGGGATCATTTTAAGAAAATGAAAGAGAAACCTGTACAATATCTGCAGAGCAGAACTTGCCTTCCACTGCAATTATTTTTAGTTAGCATATAGCTAAAATCTAACAATGGTTATATAATAGCAGCTGCATTCTGGCGCGATAAGCTGTATGTTTTATATTCAATTAACCTATGATCTGTTAGTCGACTAATCGAAAAAATAATCGGTGATTAATCTGTTATAAAAATAATCGTTTGACAGCTCTAGGCTTCCGTAAACAGCAAYAGTTTGAAGACAAAGTTAAATTCTGTCCAGATTGACGAGCTAGTGGCTAGTTGGAGCTTAAAAGGAGTTTGCTGCTGTCTTAAATCAAGGTAATTAAAAAAAATGTCATAGTAGTTTATTCTTAACACTATTTTACAAAAATATATGTTGCTGTCAACCTTAGAATAAACAACTATTTATATAGAGTCCTCTGGTTAATAGCAAGCTCAAACAGCAGCAGCTAGCTGTAGCGCTCTGGTCCAGCCCATAGTGCCTAATTTAGTAAATATTTTAACAAATAAATACATAGAAAAATGTAACGTATGCATAATTAAGTAAAATATAAAAACGTCTATTTACCTAGAATTTTGTGGGTATCAAGCAACTAGCGCCAGTTAGCAATTAGCTGTAGCATTTCTGGTGGCACCTGGAGCATTTCAAGTAAGATTACATTCTATAATAAATAAATACATAAATAAATAAACAAATAACATGTACAATGTAAAAATAAAATATTTAGTGCCTTAATAAATTAATAATTACACTGAATTCTGTTTTATTAGTATGTGTGTGCAAATAATGTTAGCAGTAGCATTTCAGCTTACTTTCTGTAGGATATGATATGTAATAAATAAACAAATAACATGTACAGTATATAATAAAAAAGTATCATTTTAAATATATTAATAAAAGGATATTTGCATAAACTTCTGCATTTATTAGCAAATACATATAGTGTTAACAGTAGCATTTTTGGTGCAGGGCATTTCTGTCAGGAATATTATATTTCTGCTGAAATTATCCTATAATGTGAGAATGAGGTTGGTGTAAAGGTGAAAAAAAGTGTTTGCATGGAACATTTTTTTAACTAGAGTTGTTTGAAGGCTCCAGCAACCAGCCTAACTAACCATTAGATTGTTAGCCAGTTTTATCTACAGCAGGCAAGATATTAATTGTTCAAAGCCTTTTCACATGACCCCACTTTAAATGATCTGAACTATTTTTAACATGTTTTTTAACTGTTACTAATTGCACAAAMCCTCCCTTGGTTGTTCTGAAATATGCCATGCAATCTGTTAGAATAAAACAGGATCTAAACATCAGTTTAATAACTATATTAAAAGTTACTAGTATGTGCCAAGRCAATAGATAGTTATGCAACACACACAGACATGCAAGATGAAGATGCCCACATGATTTGAGCAGCTGTGTAGACTTTTAACACTTGGTAGATTTAGGCTTAAACACAACACACCTTCTCCTTATCTAAGTGGCACAGAAATGCAGCGGAGTGTTTTTTTTGTGGTGATAACACTGCGTGTGTCTCTCCCAGCAGCGCCGCAGCCTCTGGAGTTGGCTTCATCCTGATCGTCGACAGACGGCTGGACCGATGGGCCGCCGTCAGAGCCACCCTGCTTCGCATTGCAGTAAGATCCTGTTCTGTTGGCATGTCTGCTTGTGGGTGACAGAGAGTGTGTTGAGAAAACTGGAACATTATTCGCTGACGACATCCCTCTCAGGACCACAAATGGCTGTTTTTAAAYTGCCGGTATTAGTCTGCATGGGTTGTTTCAACACAGATCCTTGGGTGTAGCTGCTGGTGTCAGCTGTCTGTGGGTGTAATTTGGTGTGTCGCCTCTGAGAATAATGATTGTTTTCAATTTTATTGTTTGCTGCATACTGAAAGGCCATGTATGGGGAAATGGGTATCATTCTGGGTGTTGAAATTTGTTAAAAATAGTGTTTTGTGCTGGAGTGGCTAGTAGAATCTCTTCACACGGAATCACAGTGTAGGTAATGAGAAATGTTTAGAAGGTTTTAAGTGTTTGGAATGAAGAAAATGGAGAAAATTAGCTGGTGTATATA